AGCGGCTCGCAGATGGCAGACAGAATTGCCGCCACGAATGCGGCCTCAAGGGCGCTTCAAGTCAGGTGCATCGACACCCGCGGAAGCGAGCTTGCTCATCGACAAAATGGAGGCCCAGCCCTCTCCTGCTGAAGCTGAACGTCTCCTGAAATACTTTGCAGCCGAGGCACTGTGGCGCCCTGAGCACCGGCTGCAAAAACCTCCAGGATCAAACAGACATGTTGCTGTTCAGCTGCTGATTATGTCAGGCGCAATTTCGCCACACGAACCTCAGGTAAGCTTGACCTGCGCATGCCTTGCTAACGCGACATGACATGATGCATCCTGCTCTGCTCGAGCTTGCTACTCGACACCTCGCCGCGGCTACTCTTGAACTCCACAGGCCTTGCTAAAGAAGTTGGGCGCTGCTGCCGCAGCGGCCGTTGCGACAGCAGACGAGTCACGTGACTGCTCACGCAGAGCGCCCACCATCCCGATCCTGCCATTCTCACACTGGTCGCATGTGCTTGGGATGTCGTCGTCCCTGCGTCCTGCTGGACTGGGTGAGAGCAGTGGAGCTCTGGTGCTGCACGGAGACGGAAGGGCTGGCAAACCCCTCTGGAGAGCCTGCATTCCACCTCAAGGCAGGAAAAACGTAACTGCGAGGGGCTGCCACCTTTGGCGAAGACGCCAAGCCACAGCAGGCCACACGCCAAGGCAAGAAGAACAGCCGTTGATCGAGTGCGGCTTTGGCGCGCCTCGTGCACATCCAATTGGTTAGCATCAGACACACAGGGGCATGTTTTGCAACACAGATCCCATATGCAAACCAGCTTCCATTGTGATTCGCAGAGAAGGGTAGGTGGCGGCTTTAAAGGGCAATCAAAACCAGCTGCGGTTTCCATACATTGCCGATCGATGGGCACAAAAGAGCACAAAGCAGGTTTCACAACACATAGTACATAAGCGTTCGTTTCTTGGTCTCAACTGCACGGTCGGGTTTTAACACAGTCGAAAATCAGATCGAAAAATGCAAATGCAGTATAAAGGCTGCTTTTGCAGCGATACAGAGTGGCGGGATCCTTTCTCCATGCCTGGGGCAGAATACCGCTCAGAGGAGGTTGCCAGATGCAAGCTTTGTCTGGTCGTCCTCGTCCACAAGTCGTTTACCTGACAGGAGTCTAGGGTTGCTCGACTCTGCGCCAGCGTGCTGCTGTACTGAATCCCAGCCGCTTGGTGGCCATCACGATC